TTGTGAGATCGACGCCCCCCCCCTCCATTGGGCTCTACGCTGGGTGTGGACCCTGCTTGGGATTCTCTCTTTCCCTCTGTTCTCCTCCCAATCACCCCTACCTCTTGTGCTCTAGCTGTCTCTTAAATGGGCAGAGGAAGAGTGGGAGGATCAAACACATCCTCTGAAAGGCCTTTCAGACCACTCTTTTAAACAGAGAGCCAGAGGCTACTCATTCGGCTTCCATCATATTCATTCAATCCTTATTCCCTCACCCTGTTTTACTTTCTTCAGAATATTTATAATGAATCAAAATTATATTACAGGTTTCTTTTTTACCCTCTTCCTCCAATTAAAATGTAAGCCCTACAATGAGAACTTCTTATTTTTATTACTCTATCCTCAGTTTCAAATACTGTGTACCTACTGGCACAAGTATTTAGACTGAATGAATTTTCCCAGTCTCTAATACCTGCCAAAACCTGGTCTAGGTGCTAGAGATACCTTTAGCTGTTAACGTCTCTCCATCCCTTCACAGCTAAATCTTTAGGTAGTGTTCCTAACTTCTCATGTTCATTGAAAATTTAATACCCTGCAGCCTGGGCTCTCTAGTCCACTCCTTTGAAAGTGCTCACTGAGTTCCACAAGTTCTTCATTCCAGTAGCTCCAGCCAATGAACACTTCATTTCTTGTCTTCTTGAACTATTTGCAGCAACACTAACTGAATCCTCCTTCCAAGAAAATCGCCTTCCTAAATTTCAATGCCCGCATTCTTTCCTGGTTCTCTTCCTACTCTCCAGGCGAGTCCCATTCACAGTCTCATGCTCCTTAAATGCTAAGTGTTTCCAACGGCTTACTGCTCAGTCTCCCTCATCTTCTCAATCCATATGTTCTCACCATCACTGAGCAACCAACTCTACTACTATGGATTAAGTCCAAGCTCTTCTGAATTCCAGACCCACGTGTTCAACGGCCCTGAACATCTACCTGGATTTCCCATATGTACCTCAAACCCAACGTGCTAAAAATGGAAATCACTTGTCTTTCCCCTGCTTCCTACCTTCTCCCTCAAAGCATGTTTCTCTTAGATATGCATCACAGTGAATGTCACTGCCCAACTAATCAAGCCCAAACCCTGAGTTTTCCTAGACCTCTCATTCTTCCACAACCCCTCTAATTAATCACCAAGTATATCTCCTATTTGCACATACTACAGCACTTTCTTATCTTATGGTAATTTAACTGTCCCCCTCCTCCCTGCAAATCCATCCTTCAGAACTTTTCCTTTCAGAACACAAAATCAAATTCCTGGCTTAAAATTTCCTAAAACTTCACTCCCTATTACCCTTCTATCTCAAAGTTCATCTCCTGGTATTAAGCAACCCCCCCCCCTTCTGCTTCAGTAATGCTAAATTTCCTATGGTCTCTCCTCAAAGGAAAATCCTTTCTGTTCAAGTCTCCCTCCATGGAATACTCTCCCCAACACCACAATACCTCATGGATTCATCAACAACCAGTTCAAATGAATAACTTCTCTTGGGATGCCTTCATGAATTCATCCAAGAAATGGAGAAGCCTCCATTATCCACTGACCATATGCTATAAGTTTATTATACTTCTTACTGTATTGTATTATAGTCACCTTTCTCATCTTAAGAGGGTCTTTTTTTTGTGGTCCCAAGTGCCCAACATAATATCTCCACTTAGTGATGGTATTCAAGGGACACCTGAGTGGCTCAGTGGTTGAGGATCTGCCTTTGGCTCAGGCATGATCCCGTCCCGGGATTGAGGTCCCACATGTGGCTCCTTGCAAGGAGCCTGATTCTCCTTCTATGTGTCTGCCCCTCTCTCTGTGTGTCTTTCGTGAATTAATAAAATCTTTAAAAAATAATAAAATATTTTTTTTTAAAAAGAAGATTTTATTTGAAAGAGTGACAGGCATGGCAGCATGAGCTGGGCAGAGGGAGGGCAGAGGGAGACGGGGAAGTAAACTCCCCCACTGAGTAGGGAGCCCCACTCTGAGCTCAATCCTAGGACCCCAGGATCATGACCTGAGCCCAAGGCAGAGGCTTAACCAATTGAGCCACTCAGGCACTCCTTAAAAATAAGATCTTTAGGGCAGCCTGGGTGGCTCAGTGGTTTAGCGCCGCCTTCAGCCCAGGGCCTGATCCTGGAGACCTGGGATCAAGTCCCACATCAGGCTCCCAGAATGGAGCCTGCTTCTCCCTCTGCCTGTGCCTCTGCATCTCTCTCTCTCTCTCTCTCTCTCTCTCTCTCTCTCTGTGTCTGTCTCTCATGAATAAATAAATAAAATCTTAAAAAAAAAAAGGAATCTCAGCTCTATCACAGACTGTACGACTTTGGGCAAGATGCCTAACTTCTCAGTGCATCAATCTCCTCATCTGTAAGATGTGGAAAATATATATTTCACAGGGCTGGTGTGAGAATTAAATGGTTTAGTACATGTGAATGCTGAACACAGTGCCTGGCAAATAGTAAGCACCCAATAAATACTACTATTAGTATAGCAGATGCTTGGTTAATATTAGTTTCTCCCTTCCTACATCTATTCTCTCACTCCTATTTAAAGAAGCCTGCATCGGGATCCCTGGGTGGCGCAGCGGTTTGGTGCCTGCCTTTGGCCCAGGGCGGGATCCTGGAGACCCGGGATCGAATCCCATGTCGGGCTCCCGATGCATGGAGCCTGCTTCTCCCTCTGCCTGTGTCTCTGCCTCTCTGTCTCTGTGACTATCATAAATTAAAATAAAAAAAAATTTAGAAGCCTGCATCTATAGAAGTAAGTTAACACTTGCATGACAAGTGGTATTACAGAAAAATGGGTGGTCAGGAAAGGGTCTCTGTGACTTGCAAATCACATCACAGTCATGGTTCTCTTATGTCTCCGACCCTTCCTTTTCTAAATGTTTTCTTCCTGAGAAATCTAGCAAATCTCCAGGCTTCAAAGGAGGGAGTCATAAAATTCTTATCTCCAGCCAAGATTTCTCTCTCTTGAGCCCCAGGGTAGTATTTCTCAACTCCTGATTTCTACCTAATGGCCCAGCATCAGCTTAAACTAAAAATGCCAAAAGCTGAAAATTATTCCTTTCCTCAACAGTTCCCCATTTCTCCCCTCCTATCTTCCTCATTTAGTAAAAGAACCTGCTATTCTTCCGGTGCACTGGCTAGTTGTCCTGAAATTATACTTTAGTCCTTGTTCTCCTGCAATAAGACTATCTCAAATCATCTTTTTCCTTTTGTTCCTACTGCAACTAAGTCAGGCCCCTTTAACTTCAAGCTTATTCCACTAAAAAAGCTCTGATGGTGTCCCTGCCACAGATGCCACCCTATACTGCATGCACTACCACACTGATCCTCCTAAACATACCACTTTTCACCATGGCCTTTCTCGGCTTAAAACTTTTGGTGTACTACTCCCTCTTCCATTTCACAATCTACATGGAAAAAGGCAAAGATTGACTTCAATGTGGCAATCTACATCCTTCTCTACCTTGCTCCAGTCTTCCTTTTTAATCTTATTTCCATGATAAAAATACCATCACCTTACATTTATGCAGTGCTTCATTTAACTCAGAAAACATTCTTACCTGGCTGGCATTTCATCTCAATGACCCTTAGAGAGAAGCCAAACAGGGACGCCTGAGTGGCTCAGCGTCTGCCTTCGGCTCAGGACATGATCCCAGGGTCCAGGATCGAGTCCCCCATCAGGCTCCCTGAGGGGGGAGGCTGCTCCTCCCTCTGCCTGTATCTCTCTCTGCATCTCTCATGAATAAATAAATAAAATCTTTAAAAAGAAGGAGGGGAGAGGCTAAACTGTTATCAGTATCTTTCTTTTACAGAAAACAGACTTCTAGCACTGATATCTAAGAACAAATGGGTCCCTGTCCCACTCCCTCCTTGGACTCCTAGGTAAATCTATCTATCTAATACCTCACTCCCACCACTTACATACAGGAGTCTTCTGTTCCAGAAGCTCTGGTCTCAGTGTTGTCTCATCCACATCTCTCCAACATACTTCATGTTTTCTTAGTCTGTAGTTTACCCTCTACCATTCTCTCACTTGGTAGAAAGCCCTAATCCCCAACTCTTGTTATAAAAATACAGGAATACAGCATAGGGAATACAGTCATTAATACTATGAAAACTTTGGGGATCCCTGGGTGGCTCAGCAGTTTGGCGCCTGCCTTTGGCCCAGGGCGTGATCCTGGAGTCCCGGGATCGAGTCCCATGTCAGGCTCCTGCCATGGAGCCTGCTTCTCTCTCTGCCTGTGTCTCTGCCCCCCCCCCCCCCCCCGCCCATGTCTATCATGAATAAATAAATAATCTTAAAAAAAAATACTGTGAAACTTTGTATGGTGATAGGTGCGAACTAGACTTGTGGTGATCATTTCATATAATGTATATAAATATCCAGTCACTATGTTGTATACCTGAAACTAATATAATATCCCATGTCAATTACAAAAAAACCCCACTGAGGATGCCTGGGTGGCTCAGTGGTTGAGTGTCTGCCTTCAGCTCAGAACGTGATCATGGTCCGGGGATCAAGTCGGCTTCTCCCTCTCCCTACGTCTCTGCCTCTCTCTGTGTCTCTCAAGAATAAATAAATAAAATATTTAAAAACCCATAGTATTTCTTCAAGACTTCAGTTTAGGCATTCCCAAAAGGGACACCCAAAAACATTATATTCCACTTACCCCCCAAAACATTATATTCCACTTACCAACACCGTGGAAGTTGTAATAACTGATCTGACACTTACTGCCCCAGTCATACTATAGTTTATCTGATATACTTAAACCTTCCAATATCCCCCTCCAAAAGGAATAGTTGTTTTTTTGGAGTTTTCTATTTATCTCTGTACCTATCACAATACCACAATACCAAACCTGAAGTTTTGGATTAGACATTTTGGCCAGTGTTTTTCAAATAGCAGGTCATAAACCCTGAGTAGAATCTGAAATCAATCTAGAAGGTCACAGCTAGTATTTTTTTTTTTTCCACATCAGATGGGTAATGTGCTGAGGTCATAACAAGGTTTGAGGGAGGCATGTTACACATGGCATGAACACCCAATCACCACAGTTATGAACTACAAAAGGATCAGTATTTTGTATTTAATGAAACAATAGACTACATCTCTCATAATACAGATGAGTGCTGTTTTGTGAAACTCTTATTACGTTACGTCTGTATGTAACTGTTGGATCATAATATCAAATACATATCTTACTATGTGTTATATTTTTTTAAAGTTTGAAAGTTGCTAATGTAGATGACCCAATTTCTAGGCTCAAGGGTTTTACTTTTTTTTATTTTTAAGATTTTATGTATTTATTTATGAGAAACACACAGAGAGAAGCCGAGACACAAGCAGAGGGAGAAACAGGCTCTCTGGGGAGCCTGATGTGGGACTCGATCCCAGGACCCCGGGATCATGACTGAGCCAAAGACAGATGCTCAACCACTGAGCCACCCAGGTGCCCCAGGTTTTACATTTAAACCAGAGAAATACTAAACTAGGGAAATACTTGCTCTCTACCAAACCCCACACCCTACAAGAAACATCAGCTAAATAGAATACATAGATACTTGGGGGCAGAGGAAGACAAAAGAGTAATGACCATAGGGGAAAGTTTGTAAAGAAATGTTTCTAAGAGATGTTGGAATGTGCTACAACACTAGGTATATAGTTTCCAGCCTTCGCCATTTGTTTAGCCAAAAAGATGCCTCTAGAGAAGGATTCCGAAAATATATTTCTCAATACTAACAGTTAAAAGGTCCTCGTTGCAGCCCACAATACAAGGGTATGCAGGATCTGGCTCTGGTAAATTAATGAATGCCTTCTCTTTCCCCCTTAATCCAGTCTTCCAGCCACAGTGGCCTCCATGCTGTTCCCAGAACATTTCAAGTTTTAGCATCTCTGCACCTACTATATCCACAGCTATATCCTTTCTTCTTTAAATATCTTTCACTTGGGGATCCCTGGGTGGCTCAGCGGTTTGGCGTCTGCCTTTGGCCCAGGGCGTAATCCTGGAGTCCTGGGATCGAGTCCCACTTTGGGCTCCCTGCATGGAGCCTGCTTCTCCCTCTGCCTGTGTCTCTGCCTCTGTGTGTGTTTCTCATGAATAAATAAATTTTAAGAATCATTAAAAAAAATAAATATCTTTCACTTAATTGAATTTTTTTTTTTATGTGCTATCTTCAAAAAGGCCCTCCATGATCACAGTTTCCCAGAGTAGGCCCCTACTCTCTATTTCCTTATCCCACTGTATGGTTTTTCAAAAACTCTTGTCACCTCCTAACACTCTATTACACATTTATTCTTTTATGGTCTACCTCAGAGATCCACAAGCTTTTTCTATAAAAAGCCAAACAGTATCTATTTCCAGCTTTTTCTGTCACAACCACTCAACTCATTATAATATAAAAGCAGTTTAGACAATATGTAATGAGCAGATGTGGCTGTGTTCCAATAAAATGTTATTTACAAAAACCAGCAGCTGGCCAGGTTTGGCTCAGAGGCCATGTACCCCTGATACAGTCCTTCTAATAGAATGTGTCATTAAAAAAAAAAAAAAAGAATATGAATGTCATAGGGACAGCAATCTTCTGTTTTGTTCATTATGGTATCCTTGAGGCCAAAATAGTGCCTAGTCCCAACTACATATTCAATAAATTCAATAAACATGTATTGATTAAATTAATAGTGCTGGTCTGGAGTGGGGAGCCACCTCTCTTCTACTTCCTTGAGTGACAGTAACATGGTGTTCAAGTAGAACGAGGACAAGGTCAGCAGCTGTATTTCCAGCTGGTTAGTACCATACCATGAAATATGGTACCACAACCATTGTGTGCTCCTGTCACCAGCAATAACCATGTCACACACAAATGCCTTTGGTTATAACTGGGTCCAGGCAGAAGCCTGAATTCCTTGGCTCTGCCCCCAGAAGCTCTGATTCAGTAGATCCAGGGTAGGGTCCAAGAATCTGCATTTCTAGCCAAGTTCCTAGGTGATGCTAATAGTGCTGATCCTAAACTACACTTTGAGAACCAGTAGGTGAGAGCACCTAAAAACTATATTAGTATTTTTATACTCTTCAAGAAAAGGAAAAAAAAAAAGCCAAAAATCCTGACGTTCCAGTGACCTGGCTTCAGGGGGTTTGAAAAAGAATGGAACTGCTGTTTCAGTGAAATGAAAGCAAAAACCACTAGGTCTTTATTTTTTTAACAGACTATCTCCCAAACATTCTATTTTTACTTGCAAATATAGTTCTAACTGGCTAAAACAATACACCAAACAGGTAAAACAGAGAAATCACCATGGCTGGCTAACCTTGATAGTGTGGGCTATTAACTCCATCATTGGTTTTCTTAAAATTACTTTTTTTTTTAAAGATGTTATTCATTTATTCATCAGAGAGAGAGAGAGAGAGAGAGGCAGAGACACAGGCAGAGGGAGAAGAGGCTCCATGCTGGGAGCCCGATGTGGGACTTGATCCCAGGTCTCCAGGATCATACCCTGGGCTGAAGGCGGCGCTAAACCGCTGAGCCACCAGGGCTGCCCAAAATTACTTTTTTAAAAATTTTATTTTAAGTAGGCTACACTCCCAATGTGGGGCTTGAACTCATGATCGTGAGATTCAGAGTCTCATGCTCTATGGACTGAGCCAGCCAGACACCTCAATTTTTTTAAATTACTTTGAGGAAGAATCATAACCACGTGCTTTTCTATTGTTAGATGCCAAAGGCCTTTTCCAGATGGATACTAGAGATTGAATCTTTTTTTTTTTTTAAAGATTTTATTTATTTATTCATGAGAACACAGAAAGAGAGAGAGAGAGAGAGAGAGAGGCAGAGACACAGGCAGAGGGAGAAGCAGGCTCCATGCACCGGGAGCCCGACGTGGGATTCGATCCCGGGTCTCCAGGATCGCGCCCTGAGCCAAAGGCAGGCGCCCAACCGCTGCGCCACTCAGGGATCCCTAGAGATTGAATCTTACTACAATGAAATACACCTACAATAAATTACAAGCCTGTAGATCACTTTCTTCAAATGATAAAAAGTCTGTCATCACCAGATAGAATCCACAACATCTTCTGAATCCACCATAATAGAACCTGCAATGGATTAGTAACAATTTTTACAAGTTCTACATTCGTCATCACAGAGGACTTAAAATGATCCCCCAAATTCACATTAAAATCACCCTGAGGCCATTATTTACTCTTCCAATCTGAATAGCCCACAGAGGGATTATAATTTATATACATTTGTAGCTGTTTATAAAGTCATTTTCTACTGTAATGGTTATACGTTGCTAACATAGATTAAAAAATAATTTTATTTATTTTTTAAAAAATATTTATTTATTTGTTCATGATAGACAGAGAGAGACAGAGGCAAAGATACAGGAGGAGGGAGAAGCAGGCTCCATGCCGCTCCAGGATTGCGCCCTGGGCAAAAGGCAGGCGCTAAGCCACTGAGCCACCCAGGGATCCCCAAAAAATAATTTTAAAATGAAAAAGTAAGGTGAAGTCTACGTTCTTAGCAAAGAAATTCAAGAAGCAAAAATCTAGAACGTTAATGAATGGACTGTTAAGAAGATGGCAATACTACATCAAAATGTACCTCCAGGGCAGCCCAGGTGGCTCAGCAGTTTAGCACCGCCTTCGGCTCAGGGTGTGATCCTGGAGACCAGGTATGGAGTGGGCTCCCTCCATGGAGCCTGCCTCTCCCTCTGCCTGTCCCTCTGCCTGTCTCTGTTTCTCTCATCAATCAATAAATAAAATCTTAAAAAAAAAAAAAAAAGATGTACCTCCAAAAAGATACTGCATATGATCAAAAAATGTCTTAGCAGACCCCCAATGCACAAATCTAAAGATGATTCTCAGTTAAGATTAAGTATTTAAAAAAAAAAATCAAATATTTTCAATCCAAATTTACCATCTGAAGTGTGCAAAGTGTAAAATATACACTAGATTTTTACAACTTTGTGAGAAAAAAAACATAATTTTTATGTTGATTATAGGCTTAAATGTTAATTTGGATACATTAGGTTAAAGTATTAAACTATTTAAATTAATTTCACCTCTTTGGCTGTGTTACTGTGGCTGCCAGAGAATTTAAAGATTTATTTACTTATTTGAGAGAAAGTGTGCATGCACATGTGTGCATGCACATAGAGGCAGAGGGAGAGGGAGAGAGAATCTCAAGCAGACTCCACGCTGAGTGCGCTGAGTGCAGAGCCTGTTGTGCAGAGCCTGTCGCAGAGCCTGTCGCAGAGCCTGACACAGAGCTTGATCTCATGCAGATTCACAGCCTGATCTGAAATCAAGAGTGGGTTGCTTAACCGACTGTGTCACCCTGGACACCCACTACCAGAGAATTTAAATTACATGTGGCTTGCATTAGATTTCCATTGCATAGTGATGGTCTAACCCAATTCTGCAAGTAGATTTACTATCTCCTCTTCCTTTAGGTGATTTCTAAAAAGCTTGTAGAAGGTGATAATGGAGCAATGAAAAAACATGAAACTATGTGGTACGTCTGACACAGACTGTCAGGAAAACCATGGGTCAGGTGCTCATCCACCCCGTCACTTCAGGTGCTAATGACCTCACCTTCCTAGGGGAGGGAAGATGTGTCCCTCTGTGATCACTGTGCATATCTATATCTATAGCCCCACACACACAAATTATACACTTTAATTTCAAATTGCAATTAACTGTATCAGAATCCTGAGCAGTGTTAGGCTGAATATAAGGTCTCTGTTTATGAAAACTACCTGGTTCCTAATACCCAAATACCTCCAGCTCCCAGTATGTACTTCATTCTTACAGAAGAGACACATCTGTAACAACTTTATTTTTATTTTTTTAAAGATTTTATTTATTTGAGAGAGAGAGGGAGAACGCACATGAGCACCGGTGGGGGGGAGGGGCAGACAGAGAGGGAGAAGCAGACGCCCTGCTGAGTGCGGAGCCCAAGGAGGGCCAGATCCCGGGACCCTGACTGAGATCACGACCTGAGCTGAAGTCAGACACAAGCAACCGAGCCACCCAGGTGTCCCTGTAGTAATTCCTTTAATCCCTGTCTGTTTTA